ATTTTTGTAATCATCATAAAAATGATCCACAACCTGAACCACTTGATGACGATGATGATGACGATCCAAATAAAGATATTTATGAACCTAAACGTTCGGATGATATTTGTGAATGGGATCAGAATTTTATCAAACAATTTACTGTTCAAGAAGGTACACTCTTTGATATTATTATGGCAGCTAACTATTTGGGTATAAAAACATTACTTGCTGTTGGCTGTAAAACAATTGCCAATATGGTTCGTGGTAAATCATCGTCGGAAGTACGAGAAATGTTTAATATTTCCTATGACCCACCCGGTGAAGGTTTAAATGCTCCAAATGCTATTGAAGGTCAAGTAGGGACAGTTCCAACAACACAAGACGCAAATGCAACTAGTCCATCACCTCAACCAGATCTAATGAACCAATAAATATGAAATTAAGAAAAAAATAAACATACCTGTTTTCTTTGTGTGCTTATTCTTAATTATTTTTTTTTTATGATAAAGTTTGTCTTGTCTATGGAATAAGAAAACGAATATGTGTTCTATTTGTATATATACCCTCATATTAACTGTTGTCTATCGTCCATAAATGATATATTGGGTTTATTTGATACATTCATAAGAAAAAAAAAAACTCTGATCAAATACATGTTGTGATGACGAAAACGAGCGGGGTGATGGCAACATTATCCTGGCAGAGCTACATATTAAAAAGAAAAAGACTTGCCTTGCTTGATCATATGATGTTCGTTAGATTTTGTGGACCATAGAGTTATATGAAACTGATTATTAGTATACAGTAGGTCAGTTTCTTTGGAATTTCCGAAATCGGTTTAGTGGAATATAAAATTACATAGTTCATAGTTTCTTACACTAAACACATGTCTTGATACTGCAGATTTACTTTGAACCCATGCGAGGTAGACAGCAGATTCGTCGACTGAATCCGTGACATTACAATATCGAGATAATTTATATCTATTATTTAGAGAGACATCTGGGTGTTCGAGAAAACATTCATTAATGCTTTCACATTGTTCCCTTGATAGAAAACAAAATAGAATTTGAAGAATTAAAAAGAATCAAGTATTTTAATTTCACTTTACTTTCATGAATCTATTTCATTTATTTCTAAAGTATTTTTGATCTCCTGATAAAGTATAAAAATATATTGATCTCATTGAAGATTCATCTTTAGGAACGAAGAAAATGTTCGATAGTGAAAAATAGCGAAGTGGCTAGAATTTTTAACAGAGATCATTCAGCAAAATAACAGTCGTTATAGACAATAATAAGACTGATTTAATAAATGTTATTCAGGAGTCACCGCGGGGGGGTTTACCCAAAAGAAGGATTTTTTCACAAAAGAAAAAAGGGAAATTCGAAAAAAAGTTGGAAAAGAAGAACTTTTGATAAGTCGAACGCTGTAACGGTAAAATTATATTAGAAGACCAATTGTGAACAATAGGAATAAGGTCAAACAAAAATGAATTTCAAACATGAACAATGGTCTCCTTCTTATGTGA